TTTGAGATCGTTTTGACAGACATGTTTGTGTATTATTTTCAATGTGTTTATTGCTAAGTTTAGTGTGGCAAACGGTGGCAAAATAATTAAATAATTCGCGTGCAGTGTATATGGTTGCCATGACAACCTCACACGCTTCCTGCTGCTGCTCTATGTAATCAGAGTATGAATTTGTAGATTTTCTATAGCAAAACTAAAAAGTGTTTAAAAGTGCGACTGACCAAATCGTCCGGCTCGGTTTGGTACCCCCCTCCCCCCACCCGAACTGGAAGACATCTCTAATTTTGACAGTTTACATCTGATCTCACTCAGTAGGTGCGTTCGACTTCATGCGGCGCCGCGTGTTCTGACTCACAGACTGTAAGTACGTTGTTTATATTTAAAGGATTTGCCACTGACGATTCAAACGCGAGTTTTTTGGGCAGTAGAGTAGCACTTGTTGTTTGTCATTTCTCCGATCACAAATGCAGACATGGTTTTGTGTTATGCTCCAGCCGGACAGGGCATCACAATATGGAAGAGGCGTAACATTTCCGTCACACGCTTGAGGTATTCGGCCAATCACAACGCACTGGATAGCTGGCCAATCAGAGCACACCTCGCTTTTCAGACCGATGAGCTTTGTAAAAATTGACGCGTTTCAGAAAGGCGGGGCATAGAGGAGAAACAATAATGTACAGTATGTGGAAAATAATGTGTTTTTTTAACCTTAAACCGCATAAACACATTTCATTACACCAAATACAACAAAATAATGTTCTTTTTAACAGCATCATATGAACTCTTTAAATTGTAGTAATGAGTATTTTGCACTTTCTGAGAGCCCATTAATGTTTTGCCCCATTGTTTGACTGAATATTCAAACGTTTTGTTGAATCCTAACTACATGGTCATCTGAGATAATGTGGTGAATGTGCCACCTTTTCTTTCTCCTTTTTTCTTATGAAAAAAATTGTGATATATTTAGACTGATTAGGGCACGCCCACACACACACACACACACACACACACACACACATTCCTCAGGTGTGACATTTAATTCGGTCTGATTTGTATGCATGCCCGCATGATCGTTTTCCAACTCTCACAGCAACTTTATCTTTATCACAGCAACTTTATCTAAAATTATTTTTGAAAATATGTACTCAGCATTTAATACTGTGAGTAGCAGCTTCATTCTGATCTAATGAAATATGTTGCAGAAGATTGTGGGAGTACGTGACGACATTATTTCTCAAGGGTAGAGCAGATAACAAGCTAAACAACATTTGTGCCCGCCCCAGATATATGCTAGTGCCATAAACCACCCAAACCAGGGCGCGCACACACACACACACACACACACACACACACACACACACACACATTCCTCAGGTGTGACATTTAATTCGGTCTGATTTGTATGCATGCCCGCATGATCGTTTTCCAACTCTCACAGCAACTTTATCTTTATCACAGCAACTTTATCTAAAATTATTTTTGAAAATATGTACTCAGCATTTAATACTGTGAGTAGCAGCTTCATTCTGATCTAATGAAATATGTTGCAGAAGATTGTGGGAGTACGTGACGACATTATTTCTCAAGGGTAGAGCAGATAACAAGCTAAACAACATTCTTAAAACTCAGACTGCTTTTAAAACAGACTCCAATCACACAATCAAGGAGTAAGAACGTTTTAAGCTGATGTAAGTATTATATTTCTACATTTCATATTGAAATATCCTGTCGAATGTAAAATCGGTATTCTTTTATTTGGATTTTTGAGAGTTTGCTTTTCTTGAGTTGAGTACTATAACATTACATGCCATGTCAACTTGTGATTTGTTTAGTTGGTGTCAGCTTGTGTTTAAAAGGAAGAAAAGAAAGCTGCATGGACCATGTGTTACTCAAACACAGAGCTCTGTGTTACTCCTCAAATTACAACATCATGGTTTTCTTTCTCCTTGTTGTCTTTGGCAAGTGTTTTAACAAAACATGGAGTAACATTTTATGATTTTGATCAGGTAAATAGGATGACACAAATTATGAATGCTTTCTGTTGAAAAGTGACTTTAAAGCTTTTCAAAAACTATTTTCTACAGGTATGTATGTTGTCAAGTGTTTGTTGTGCTTAGCATACCATGAATTACAGTCAATGTGCTGGTAATTTTCTTCATAAAGACATCAATAATACATTTTTTTGCTCTTCTCAGGGCTTTTGACCTTCACTTCAAGCCAAAAATCTCACCAGTATCACTTCATAAATATCAGAAATAACTGGACTGAGGCTCAGAGATTCTGTCGTGAGATGTACACTGACCTGGCGACTGAATAATGAAGATGAGATGAACAGCTTGTTAAAAACCATAACTGATGATGCATATGGTGCATATATTGGACTATATGGTGAAGTGTTCAGATGGCACTGGACCCTGCCAGACAGTTTCTACAATGAAAAGACATTTGAAAACTGGAAAAATAACCAACCAGATAAAAATAATAATGAGGGCTGTTCTGCAATGGACAAAAATGGGCAATGGTTTAGTGATAGCTGTGACATACAAAGGCAATTTGTATGCGTTAATGGTAAGATTTTCTATTATACAATTGTCTGTTCATTGTATTGTGACATATCTTACAGAATTACATTCCCACTGTTTTTATTTATTGTAACAGATACGATAGTGATCCAGTTTCATAAACTTATTTTCAGAAACATATTAGCAGCAATTACAATCTTTTGCTTGTCATTTGTCTGTAGCAACAGCCAATAAAAAGTATATCCTGATTGACGAGAACAAATCCTGGAGGGAGGCCCAAGAATATTGTACAACTTTTCACACAGATCTAGCCAATGTCAGAAACGTATCAGAAAATCAAGATGTGAAGAACACCGCAAAAAACGATGTATGGATTGGACTATTTAAAGACTCTTGGTCATGGTCAGATCAGAGAAACTCTTCTTTCCGTTTCTGGATTTCAAGTCAGTTTAGTAACAACAGAAGAGACAGAGACTGTGTTACAGTGATGGTGAACCAAACAGGAAAATGGAATGACGTTCAATAACAGCACTCAGGCCTTCACCTGTCATGGTGGTGTGTTCATTTTTTTCTCTTCTTTGTGTTTAAAACTGCCTAAAAATTCATAATGTATAATATGCATCTAATCTGACTCCTTTACAGATCTGAAATCTCAATCAACCACTAAACCAGGTATATTGCCAGCACTAACATTAAAGGGATAGAAAAAAAAAAACAAAGAAAAAAAGAAAGAAAGAAAAGTAAAAGTAAAAGAAAATTATGTCATCATTTATTCACGCTCATTTGGTTCCAAATAGGGATGCACGATTTTGGGATGATTTTTATTTCTGATAATAAAAACATTTAATGTTTAAATTCAGTTAAAAATCAAAAATCTCCAGGCTTGCTGTGCTAGTTTGTAAGGCTACACAATTTGGCATTAAAAAAAAAAAGAAGAAAAAAAAGTAATTTTCAAAAACCATAAAGCTTTTATTTTGTCGGAAAACCACAGAGAGACCTTAAAGCTTCTCTTTGGTTAACAACAACCAGCTTTTCAATACATGTTTGGGAAGATGGTGGGCGCATGTTGCATTCCCAAATACGCATTATAAAATTCACAGCTCTTGCAAAGATGAAGTACATGTGGAGTGGCATGTATAGGCCTGTGAACTTAGCCGCTCTGAGAGACTAAAAACACATGAGCTGTTTGTGTGTAAAAGAACACAGTGCCACGTTTTACTCTGAAACACACAGCGCATATATATTTAATTAAAACGATTTCATTTGATAATTATGCTAAGCCATTTAGTGGTTTTGGTTTTATTACGATCAATCGTGCAGCCCTAGTTTAAGTCTGTTTGCATTTCTTTCTCCTGCAGAACAATAAGAGAAGATATTTTGAAGAAGGTTAAGAAACAGCATATATGGAGTCCATTCACTGAAAACATTTTTCAAACTATCTTCTTTTAAGCTGCACAGAAGAAAAGAATGTCACACAGTTTTAAAACGACACGAGGGTGACAGAACAGAATTGTCATATTTGGGTGGAGTATGGCTTAAAAATGCAGTCAAAATCATATTATCCTTTGAACCTTTTAACACTTGTTGTTCAGCACATGAGAAATGTTACAGCAAAAGCATTAACTATGTAATTTATTAACCAAAATGTTATCACTGGTACAGCTACTCCTAGACCAGCACCAAAGACTTAAACTACTTCAGTCTGTGTGCATTGAATTTATTTAATACACGAGTTTCACAATTTGAGTTGAATTACTGAAATAAATGAACTTTTCCACGACATTCTAATTTATTGAGATGCACCTGTAATACTGAGAGGGAAAATACAAGCACACAATCGACACAAATATTCACTACAGTGCCAGATCAAGGTAAAAGAAAATGCTCACTGTGAATATTTTTGATGCTCTGTCATTAGTTCTGGTTCTTGCATTTAGTTGGCTGAACTAAGACTTTTCAGTGTTTGTCTCATGCTTCCGCTTGTGTGCAAGTTCCAGACAGACTCCCATTAGACAGTCTGTGTATTTCTGCAAGTAATGCTATTAGACAGCAACACGTGACCATCTTTATCATTGACTGACTCGTTCAAAAAGACCAGATTCATTCAACAAATGAAAGGAACAAAACACTCTGAGACATGCTTTGGCTTTGTTGGGAACTCTTTTGTTGGCAAAAATAGACAAAGTATCAGGAAAAAAGGTAATATTACTTTCTTGATTAACTGTTGTATCACAACAACCATACACTTTCTTGTGTCAACTTGCTAAATTATATATTAGTAGGCTTATACTCTTTATTGTAAAGAATAATTTAACTCTAATGCTTGCTTCCTTGAGCAGACACATTTTCAAGGTTCAATAAATAGTACATATACAATAATAGTTAAATATTTAGTTATACTAGTTGTATTGTATTTCAATGCTATTATTTTATCAAGTCAAGTAAACTTTATTAATATATAACTTTATACAATACAGATTGTGTCAAAGCAGCTTCACTGTAATAAAAAGGAAAATAGCATGTTTTGTTTAAATGTTGCAGAATCCATCACTTATGAAATAAACTAAATTTTAGCTGTAAAGCAGCTCTACAGAAGACAGTAGTGTCATTATTCAACTCAAGTCAGTTCAGTGTTGATTCAGTTCAGTTTAATAACAGTGTCAATGCTGCAAAGTTCATCAATTGAAACCTTGTTCAAGTCAGCTATAAGCAGCTCTACAAACGACAATAGTGTTATTATTCAGCTCAATTTATATACATTTTGATATCAGTTCGATTCAATAATAGTGTCAGTGTCATTATCCAGCTCAATTCAGTTCGAATTTAGTTGTCATCTGATAGTATCAGTGCAATCGATAATGTTGCCAAATATTATAATTGTCTTACATCATACCTTATAAAGGTGTATTATGCACTTTCCTTATAGTTCCCCTTACAACTCAGTATAATCTGTATTTTTGTCAATTCACTCCAAAGATAACCTGATTCTGGTCCGTGAGAACCTGATGTGGACCGAAGCTGTGAGTTACTGCAGAAAGCACCATGTGGACCTGGTCTCCATTCACAGTGAGGAGCTTCAGAACAGGGCAGCGAGAAAAGCCATCCAGGCCTCCACTTCTCATGTATGGCTGGGTCTCCGTTACACCTGCACCTTCAACTTCTGGTTCTGGATAAAGAACAGAGAAGCAGGCTGCTACCAGAACTGGGCGTCTGCATTATTTCTCATATGGTCTATGAATTCATGTATTTTATTATTCTTATTATTCTTATTTGTTTGGCTTTAATTCAAAGTTTGACAACAGGAAAGTGTGGCCATGTGAAGAAAATGCACAATAGTGAGTAAATTTCATAAAATAATGTGCAGGTAATAAGTACTTTTTAAATATAATTGTTTAATAGTACCAGCAAATATGTGATCTGTATCTGAACACATGTCTGATTAAGGCTCTTTCATACCCTTTCATTTTTTTTTATATGCTTGTGAACATGGCTGTAATTTTTGTAAGAATACAAATACATTGTGTATACTGTAATATGAATTATATATATATATATATTAATTGTAATATTGTGCTAATACAAATTAAATATATTTGCTCATTGCACAACATGATGCTAATTAGCAAAGCTGCGGTTTTAGACCTTCTGACAAAAATATTTATATGTTTCATAGGAAGTAAGTATTCAAATGACATTTGTTTTAGTCTATTATGAGGTAGTTTAATAGAGGATCTTTGTGTTTTGTGGCCCTTTCGGTGTTCAGTTACAGGAACACAAGTGTGGTTTTCATTTGCCTATCTAGATCTGTTAATTTAAAGGGAAAGAGTGTAATAAGAATTGTAATATAACACACACAGGGTGCCATTTGCATGAACGCAGCACCATCATGCTGTTCATACTCCTTTCTGTCTTAGGTAAGCTTTTCTACAGCCTTTAATTCTCTTTCTTAACCACTGAAACTGCTGCTGTAATTTAGCACTTAATGCCATAATAGACAAGGATATGCTTACTTTTCTTCATGCATTAATTCTTCCATATTTATTCTATGCTCTTCGCAGGGCTTTCTTCCTTCACTTCAAGCAAAATATCTTACCATTATCACTTCATAAATATCAGAAAGAACTGGACTGAGGCTCAGAGATACTGCCGTGAGAAGTACACAGACCTGGCGACTGTGGAAAATGCAAAAGAGATGAACAACTTGCTCAAAAGCATAAAAGATGTTTCGTATGATGTGTATATTGGGCTTTATAGAAGTAATGATTTCAAATGGCACTGGACCCTGTCAGACAGTTTCTACAATGGAGAGATATTCAAAAACAGGAAACATATAAGTAATAATGAGAGCTGTGCTGCAATGGACAACAATTGGAAATGGTTTAATGATAACTGTGACTCACAAAAGCAATTTGTATGCTTTAATGGTAAGATTTACTATTGAAACTATTAGGCATTAAGAATTCAATATATGACACATTCGTTTTGTAATGTTTTGTGACCTAATCTTCCCACTGGTTTTGTAACCGTCATGACGCATATAAATATTACCAGCCATTTTGAACTTTTCCTTGTTGTTTGTCTGTAGCAACAGCCAATGAAAAGTATGTCCTGATTGAGAAGAACCAACCCTGGAAGGAGGCACAAGAATATTGCAGAACCTTTCACACAGATTTAGCCAATGTCAGATCCTGCACAAAAAATGCCAAGAACAAAGAAACAACAACTGATGTATGGATTGGACTATTTAAAGATGCCTGGTCGTGGTCAGATCAGAGCAACTTTTCTTTTCGTTTCTGGAATTTCAGCCAGCTGAAACCCATCAGCAGGCATCACAACTGTACTGTAGTGATGGTGAACCAAACAGGGAGATGGAATTACATCCAATGTAATGTCACTCTGCCCTTCATCTGTCATGGGGGTGCGTTCATCACATTTTCCTCAGCAGCCTTTAAATCTACACAGACTGTTACAGGCTACATTTGACAATATGTAATATGTCCATATTCTGCCTCTTTTACAGATCTTAAACCAACCACTAAACCAGCAACAACAACCAGACAGAATCCAAGTACAACTTTCAATTGTAATTTGTCACACATTCATCCTCATAAATCTAAAATGTGACATGAATAGGGTGAAAAGCATAAAATCAGCAGCCAGTTTAGTACCAAAGAACATATCTTTTTGTGTAGTTTGTTAAGGAACAGTCTACACTCTAAAAAAAATGGTGCTATAGCACTAAAAGCGGTTCTTTGGCTCGTAATCATAGGGGAACCATGGTGCCATATAGCACTTTTTCTCAAAAATGGTGTTCAACAGTGGTTCTTTGGCTTTTAATCAAACAAAACTGGTGCTAGATAGCACTAAAAGTGGTTCTTTGGCTCGTAAGCATAGGGGAACCACTTTTGGTGCTATATAACACCTATCTTTAAAGGTGATATACAGTGGTGCTATATAGCACCTTAACCACTCCAAAGAACCGCTGAAGAACCGCTGAAGAACCTTTTTTTTTTAGAGTGTACATTTGAATATATTACATACAAATGCATAGTCTGTTATAGAAAAAGCCTTAATTAAACAATTATTAACTAAAAATGTTCTCACGATACAACTACTCATGGACCAGCAACAACGCAAAACACAACCAAGCGGGAAAATACAAGCAGACAAACAACACAAATACTACAGGTCAAGAGCAAAGTGAAAGATTTGCTCACTGTGAATTTGTGTTACTTTTTATTCATGCAATAGTTGGCCTGCATTGTTTATAAGGCTCATAAGTACATTTTCACTGTCTCCACCACAAAATAATGATTAATTTTTATTTTCAGCAATGTATCATAAAATAAGACTAGAAATAAGATTAATTATACAATGTATTAATCCAAAATGTTCTCACTGATACAGCTATTCCAGGATCAGCAACAACACAGTACAGACTACTTGAAAATACAACGGAGGCGGAAAATACAAGCAATCAACCTACACAAATACTCACTACAGGTGCAGAGCACGGTGAGTGATTTCCTCACTGTGAATATTTGTTCTTAGTTTTTCTTATTTGAATTTATGCAAGTTTGCCTACATTGTTTATAGGACTCATCATTATTACATTTTCCCTGTCCTCCTCACCACAAAAGAATGATTAATTTTTGCATTTTTTACAAAACATTATTAGCCTGCTATGCTGCTCATGTACACATATTTGCACAAAAATGCGTAATGTAAATAGCCAATAAAAAAATAGGAACTCATTATTTATTAATTTGTTTTTACATATTTCACATTGGTTATTTCAGAAGCATTAAAAAACAAAACGCAAAAATGTGTAATGTAAATAACCTATAAAAAAATAGGAACTCATTATTTATGAATTGGTTTTTACAGATTTCACATTGGTTATTTCAGAAGCATGAAAAAACAAAACGGTTATTTAAACTGGGAACAGATTATAGATTATAAAAGCGAGCAAAGAACACGCTTTAGTCCATGACCTCAGTAATGTGAGTTATGCCGAGTTCACACTGCACGATTTTAGCCCGATTTTTCACTCGCCGACAGGTTTTGCGAAATCGCCGACAAATGCCCGACATCGGAGGCAAATCGGTACTCGTTCACGCGAGTGACAATCACGCAGTGTGAATTATCAAAGACGCGATCTGAGGGAATCGCAGACACGTCGCCGTCGCCGATGAAATATTTGGCATGCTAAATATCTGGAGCTGTCGGCGATTCACAAAAAATTCCTTTTGTGTGAAAGGAGTTCTGACTGAAAAACACATCGGCGATGACCTACAGCCTATGAGAGACCAAGATACAGGGCAGCGGGAAGTTCGGGGAGGAGTTATATGAAACGTAGTTTGCGGACCAGTGTTGCCAAATCCGCGATTGCCGCAGGTTGTTTTTTATGTCAGCAGGTTGAAGCGACCCCAATAACGTGATATTTAGGCACTGGAATGTGAATTGTACCAGGAGAACCCCACCAAAAAAA